GCAATCGTGCATATTTAGGCCTTTTTCGGCGCATATATATGCGCATATTTTGGGATTTTCCGTGCATATTTTTATACGCCCTAGTAATAATTAGAGTCCGGATTTTTATTGAAATAAAATCGCGAAATATGGCCATAAAATATTGAAATAAATTGTCTAAATATTGATAAAAAAGGCCAAAAATTAATGAAATATTGAAATAAATTATCGTTTATTTGGTAACATAAAATGAAAAAAAATGTTAAAATTTAACAAAAAAATCAATCACGTTTTTCACAATTGCAAATTAAATACATTTCCAAATTTTCGGGAGTGAAATTCATCCTTCTATCGGTCAAAATGTTGTTATAAATAGAAAATGAGCGCTCGACGTCACAGGATTACAATGGGGCAAACTTCAATGATTCAATAATATTTGGTGGCATGTCAATATCTCCTTCTTCACCGTTCAAAACTTTAGAAATTTCAACAAGCTTGTCAATGCCAGGATTTTTTTCGAGCACATTGTAAAATTTTTTCCGAATTTTTTCACCAATTTCACCAGTTGCCACGGCAAATACTTCCTTAACTTCCGTCAAATGCCCAATGCCTCGGAAAATGTAAGTCCATTTGTCTCTACACGTTTGATTGCAGTAGGAATTAAAGAAAAGTTTGCATTGATGTAGGCCAATTGTTGAGTAATTTGTTTATCGGTGAATAATTCTTTTGCCCTTACAATGGCCGCAGCATCATTTGAATCAAGTGACTCCACCACCTATTTATTGGTAAAAATTAATTTGAATTAAAAATAGAAAAATACATCTTTAACTGCATGGAAATTGTTCGAGTAAAAAATAGTTGCTTCCAACCAACTTGACCATCTTGTAAGTATAGGCTGCGGCGGAAGTGGAAGTTCAGGAAATTTTTCCTTGTATATTGCCACACGTGATGGGGCCTTCGTAAAAACCTAATTCATAATTTTTAAATAAACTAAAAACTAAACCTTTTTGGTATTGGAAATAAGCCCATCCACTTCAGAAAAACAACTTCTAACTTCTTCGGCCACTCTGTGAAGTGCATGGCACACACAGGTAACATGTATGCAGTTTGGGTAGAAAACATTTAATGCTCGAGCTGCTTTACACATGTATGCCGCGGCATCTGTTACGAGTAAAAGAACTTTTTCTTCACTAATGCCAATTTGTCCTATATTAAAAGTATTAAGTCATGTTTAAAATAAAAAAATCATACTCAGACTCTCGTTAACAAAGCGTGCAATCGTTGAAAAGTTCGTCTTCTCCAGCATTTTTACTGCCACAAGATGAGGTGGAAAAAATCTACTCGAATCCAACCTTCCAACAATCAAATTTGCCACATTACGGCCGCGGCTATCAGTTGTTTCTCAACAGAGCACCAAACATATCCTGTTCCAAGTTTTTGTTTAATTCGCGAAATAGTCTTAAAAAATCTTTTCAATCAAGAAGATTTATATGAACTTACTCTTTTATATAGTAATGATCAAGCATTATACCTGTTGATTACACGGTTGACAAAAGACAACTTTTCCATCTGTTGTATAAATTCCTTCTGGAAATTTTGAAATCCACTCTCGCAGCCATGCTGAATGAGATTTCTTTATATTTGGCATTAAAATTTAACTAAAATTATAAAAAATCTTAAAATTTTGGTAGGAATATGCAAAAATATTGAAATAATTTGCAAAAAGCACAAAATATTGAAATAACGGGAAAATTGGCAAAATATTGAAATAAATTGAAATGTCACTTTGTCAAAAATCATAATATCGAAAAACTAATTGCATATTTGGGCGTCTTTTGACATTGTGTGTTTTCAAAAAAACATTTTATTTCAATAAAATCCGGACTCTAGTAATAATTATTCAATCAGCCTTTTAATTTCCACAATCCCTAGATAACCGTCTTAACTGTTTTTAATCTTTTTAAACTATAGGACTCAGCTGATGTATATACAAGGGGATAATAATCTAAGATAAATTTTTCCTTATCTCCAACTTAATGGCACGTCTTAAGTGAATGTTGTATTAAATGAGGAGTATTTAATGAGTTTGCGTTTTTATTTTTTACAAATCGACTTTAGTATAAGATAAAAAACCTCTTTGTTAGAGGTGGGTAAAATAAAATAATATAATGTTAGAGGTGGGTAAAATAACCCACCTCTAACAAATTACCTCTAAAATTTAGGGTAAATGTTATTCAGTTTTGTTGTATTTTTCCCCAATAGTCTAGTCAGCATTCATACAATAAAATCCATAGGAGTGTAAAAAATTGATATAATGATAATTATTAAATTATCATTATATTTTAATATTTATTAATATTATTAAATATTAATTTCTTCTAAATTTATTTTTAATATTTAATCCTAAAATTTATTTTTATTTATATTTTTTTAGTTTCTCTCTTTATAATGCACCTGCGCAAAGAACAATAGATGTTTACAGTTAGAAAATTTTGTGACAGCTTTTTTATATTTTTCTTCGCTTTTTAATTTCATTCTATTAATTTTCTTAAATAAAATAAATATTATTTATTTATTTTTATTCTTTTTATTAAAGTTTTTAAACTTTATAATTTTTTTGGTAGTCTAATAATTCAGACTAATTAACAATAGTTTTTGGGTCCCTTGTTTTCTTTAGGAGAACATTATAATGGAGAAGGTCATTGTTAAAAATATAATTATAAATTTGAATAATAATTTATCGTTAAATAATGTTTACAACTTTAAATAAAGTTAGAGATGTTTCTTTGAAACAATGTAATAAAATAATCAGAGTAATCTAGATTTGTTACAAATCAGATAGGAGGGTTGGGATAAATAATGATTGGATCTCTTCATAGTTATAGATTCACCCACAATTTTTTGATTTTCTCTATGTTATTGTGGTATGATTGGAATAAAATTTTTAATAGAAACTTTTTATAGCTTTAAATTTCAATCCAATCGGACCTCAATAATATAGAGAAAATTTAAAAATTTGAGTGAATCTATAATTATGTAACAGAGTTTACCAAAATCAGCTTAAATTGACTTTTCAGTTTTCTTGTAGTTATGTATGTACATGATCCATCCTCTCTTTCTTGTCTTCTCTTCATTTGCGTGGAGGAGATTGGCCGCCCTTCAAAATAAATTTATATAAGTTTTTGGAACTATGATTGCGGTTTGTTTAGTTGGTAGTTGACCGACCAATCATGAATTTTTATACTATAAAATAACCTGGTTTTCATTGTTATTCTGATCGTTTAGAATCTGTTCAAGCAATTGTTGCAACTAAAAAGTGAAGCAAAATACGGTACATTAAATGACATTTTAAATCTTTATATTTATTACCGTACTTGGATAATTTTTTGAAATTATTAGGAAACTATTTGGATCTGAATAAGTCATCTTACCAATTAGAGACCGGCGCCAATTTAGAGACCGGCCAATTTAGAGACCGGCCAATTAGAGACCGGCGTTGTCCGATAAATAAATTTTTTAAAAAATAACCCTAGCCTGGAGGTTATTCAGAAGGCTTTTACTAAAAGTATACTTTTACGCTACCTAAATTATTTTCACACTTGTTTAATCTAGAGGAAGATAATCTGTGAGAGCTGTTATGTAATAAAACGATAATTTAAAATATAATTAACAGAGCGATGAACAGGTCAAGAGAGAGAGAGATAAATATAATTAACAGAGCGATGAACAGGTCAAGAGAGAGAGAGAGAGAAGATATATTGACCTATAAATATCGAAAATTTTTTTAAAAATAACCTGTGGATTGTTTTGAATTTGAGGAAGATGCTAAAAATTTTAAATAGCAAAATAATTCTATATAATTTTACATTTGCCATAAGACCACTCAGATTACCCACTTGATTTTGCAAATTTAAGATATATTGACCTATAGCTTCAAGTTGTTGATCAAGAGTTACAATCTATTTATGTTTAAATTCAATAAATTTTAGAAATTAAAATTTTACCTGCCCATGAGGCCGATATTGCTAAATTTTTATAAATTTATATAGTAATCGAAGAAAATAATTAATTTCTTTAAAGTTTTGAAAACAATACAACGTTTGTTGGGCCTATTCTATAACGATAAGCACAGCTTCCTTTTACATAATCCAAATTTAGAAACCGGTTTTCTGAAGTTTTAATTGCCGGTTTTGTTTTAGGAAATATTATAAAAAATCACTCATTTTCAAAACTTTTTTTTCAAGGTTATTACATTTGGATTTGCACCGAGACCTTATATGGGTTTAAAAGCTAAAAATTTCAAATATCAGTAAAATATTTTAATACGTTTAAAGCAGGGATGGACCCGGTTCCGCGTTCCGCAGAATTCTTTCCGCTTCCGCTCTCCGTCTTCCGCTTTTTAATTTTATTCCACTTTCTTCCGCTTCCGCCTACGCTTTTCAAAATGGAAAATTCTCCATGCCTGGTTTATAGTTAAAAAATATAAAACAATTCAAACATGAGGAATCGTAGCGTAAATTTGACGAATCAGAACTCGTTGTTCATTTGTAAATTGTAGCTTAAATTAAATACTTTTAAAAAGAACCCAACACTCTTAAGAAAACTTAGATCCTAGTTTTATTAATTTTCATGTGAACCTCTCTAGATAACATAATTGGAATATCACATAAACATGGGCCTGAAGATAGGTAAGTCACATAAAAATTCGCGCAAGGCGTAGTAATATTAAAGGTGATGATGAATTACGTACATATAGTAAAGCAGCTGGGCTATAGCTATTTCTCTCCTTTAGCTAGTGCAAAAGGTTAATCGGCGGCTGGGAGCGAACCAGCATCTTCAGTAGACCGGACTGATGTGTTAGCCATTACACCACGCCGCCTACTGCACAGCCTTAGGAATTAAATAGCTATATGCTTTACAATATCAAATCTATTCGATATCCACTTTCCTACCCTCATCGCGCTTTTTGGAATGGATTAAAAACAGCGCCCCATGGGTTGTATCAGAAAATACGGTATCTTTGTCGCCACTGATTTTGATTTTTTCTGTTGGCTGGTCTACAGTCTTCTCTCAATTAAATTTAAATTATTTACCACAGGATTTTGTTCTCCTCGATTGCGATTTCTTGGTTGACGAGGTGCCTTTACACCAAATTGACAAATGATTGTCGCAACAAGGAAGACAATCAAAGAATAATTGCAGAGAGAAATCATTTTTCTCAATTTTAAATTTTCAAAATCTAAATTAGAATCATACCGTATATTTTATTTATTTCTTTAAAATCCCTGGATATCCAATAATGATATCCAATTCGTAATTTTCAAGTCTGAGGACATTACAGATTCAGATATACAATTAAGGTTGTAGGATAGTTGGAAATCTTCGGATATCCGGTATCCGAACCGAAAGTTCTGGATATCCGGCCTTTTTTCGGATGCGGATCCGACAACCTTAATCCAAATCCGCCAACATAAAAAAGTTATGTGAATAGTCTTGTGAAAAGTGTATTTTTTGTATTGTGTTTTTAAAGAGGAATTTTTATTTTACTATTTACACATTCACATGAATTTTTTTTTAAATTTCATAAGAATTAATTAAAAAAAACACGCTTCGGAAGTTAAAAAATCATTATTACGCGTGTCAAAATTCTTTAAAAATGATGCTTTAAATTTTGAAATTTTTTATTTTTAAGTGCATGCGACATTAAAAATACATAATTAAGAAATTTAAAAAATGATAATTAATTTAAAAAAATTTATTTTTAATTATTTTAAGCAGTTAAAATTCCTGAAAGTGGGCCATTTCATTGGTATAACGTCCTCCCCCTCCATCCTACTGTTGTGTATAGGCCCTACTGTTGTGTATGGGCCCTACTGTTGTGTATATGGCCCTTAAGGTGTTTAGTATAAAAACCCAGCCAATAGATAGGTAGTTGCCTGTTTCAATTTTAGTTCTTCCTACCACAACTTAATCTTTGTATTTTAGTGTGTGATAAACGTTCTGTTAGCTTCCTCTTCGTAAGCGGGGTCTTAACACCTACTCCCCCCCCTCCCCCACATCCAGTCACTTTTTTAATACTTATTTATATAAAAATCAGTCCGTTATTCATCTAAGTTTATTGTCACTTTATCAGTATTTAAGGTAGAGACCGGCAAAAAAATGCCTGTCCGGGATTTTTTGTCTCCTATGCAAATACATAAGCATGCACACTGTCTCTTTCTTTACAACTTTTCCCACTCAAATGACCATTCTCTCTTCTATTTTCTACAACTGGTCATTCAATGGACATTCACTTGTCTAATTTTTCCTTTTACTCCCGAATCGTGTCTAACAAAAATCCCGAGTAGTTAAGCAGACAACGAGGGGCAGAGAACTTCGCAACCTGTTCATCACTCGGGATTGTTGTTAGACACGATTCGGGAGTGAATGAAATAGCGTGTGACGCTGCATAAATAAATAAGAGACAAAAAATCCCGGACAGACATTTTTCGCCGGTCACTAATTTAAGGAACTACTTACCGTATATACTCAGATAATTACCCTCACTTGAATAATTATTTTTTTCTGTTAATTACCCTCTCTAGTGAGAGTTAAAAAAATTACCCACATTAGATGCCTAATTTCAAAACTAGAATAAATACACTCCCCTCCTTGGATAATACACCTCTAGCAAGAGGTTGAAACTACTGGAAATTTATTACACGGTACTTATCTCCACTAATGTTGTCGGATCCGGATATCCAATGATTTCAACTATCCAATAACCTTAATCTCCTCAATCTCTTGATAATCTAGATGGTTCCGGATAACCAAAACCAAAAAACTCTTAGACTAATAAATCCTTACTGAAGCGTCTTTTATCCCTTTATATAAATAAATTACTACATTTTTAAATTATTAAATTAATTAAATAAAAAATTAAATTAATAAAAAAAAATAAATATGGTAGAAAATACTCTGTAGAAGGGAATATAAATAATAAAAAAATTCTAATAGGAGGGAATTAAGGGGGAATTTTTTAATTAGTGATTGAGCATCTGACATGTCCCTCTAACAAAGAGGAAATTTAAATTTTAAAAATTTCCATTGTTCATTATAAATAAATTTTTAAAGAGGGAAGCAGTCACAAAGGAAATTGGCATGTGGGTAATGCCAAAAATTTTTAAATTACTTCCTGGTTAAATGCCCAGGCATAATTCAATCAATTAAAATTTTTTTTAATTTAAATTAAGAAATAAGGATTTAAAGGAAGTTTTAAAAGATGTTTTACAGTAAGTTTTGAATAATAATTTGAATTTTCTACTTGAATGAGATAAATTTTCAAGTGAGGAAATTTCTTTTTTAATTTTTTTAAATTTATGTTGAAGCTTTAAAGAATTCTAGGCCCTATCTGTAATTAATGCCGCCATTCAATTTTTCCTTTCCTCCTCGAATGGGGGAGAAAAAGTTAATTTTTCGGCTGTATTATAGTATGCCGGTAAATAGGTAGACCTATAACATTCTATTCGTCTCGACAAGCTAAGTCGAACGGTACCACTCTTTTTTCCGGATATGCCCATAGATCCTAGAAACGACCGGCATACTATACTACAGCCGAAAAATTAACTTTTTCTCCCCCACTAGAGGAGGAAAGGAAAAATGGAAAAACTTTTTAAAAATTCGATTACCACAATAATATAATTTTTGAAGAATCTAAGCCTTCTTACAAAAATTTTCGATAATGTTCCGAATATCCGAAGAATTTCAAGTACAGACATCCATTCAAGAATCACCTTAATCATTTAAAAAATATCCCATAAATTCCATATTTAGGGTTATACTTTTAAAACCGAAACTTGCGGTTTTGTCATCGGTTTTAGGTTTTCACCGTTGTTTGACCACCGGATTTCGGTTCAGGCTCGGTTAACTTATTCTGTCAACCTTTGTTTCAATATTAAGCGGACTTATGATGTGTAATTGTGTCATTAAAATGTCAGTCTCAGCAAGTCTAATTGATTCATAAAAGCACCCCATGATCTACCGTATTTTCATTCCCCTGGGGAATTATTATTTCAACCTATGGGGAATTATTAGATGGGGAATTATTAGATGGAGGGGAATTAATCGCGTTTTGGAATTTGAACGTGTTTTAGGGTATTTGTATGAAGGGAATTATTGTTTCAATCCAACAATAGCATGGGGAATTAATCGAGAGGGGGAATTATTCAAGGGAGGGCATAAATCTAACATCGACTCTTGCTTAATTCTTAAAAATAAAAAGTCAAAAAAAAAATTTTTTAATTAATTTTCTAGAGAATTTGTCATAAAATAAAAAAATTTAAATCAAAATCTTAGATTTTTTCTTCTCCAAATCATTCAAAAATATATAAATTTCTTTTCTCTTTAATATCTACCGCCACTGTTGACCATTTCATTTACGGCATGAGCTGCTGCAGCACGCGCAGCTTGATTTGCGATCTCTAAAATTTCGCTTGATTTTAAGAAAATATAAAGAGAAAGGATTTAAAAACTGAGACTTGTATCAATCAAAAGATTGATAGCCGGGAGAGTAATAAACATTGAAATTGATCAACTGGGGTTGAAAAATCATTTTTTATCACATTGATATAAGTTTTAAATAAGATTCGTTTTTCTAGTTTGGTGACCAAAATTTCAGTGCCCAAAATTCCGTACACCATCTTAAATCATATTTAAAATTCTAATAAAGGGTTGATCAAGTCCCTGGCTGATAAAATATTTTATAATGATCCTCAATCCACTTAATCCCTCAGACTCCTCAGATATCTCTCCAAATCCTCCTTAATCCCTGAAAATTTTAAGATTTTTAGAAGTGCATTTAAAATATATGCCGGGGTTTATCATGTAACGGATAACATCCAGATCCTTCAACCTAAGATCCTTCAACCTATAACTTAATAAATAATTTATCGTTGAATACACTTCGTAACAAAAAGATGGCACATCATGTTTTTTTGAAATAACTCAATGGAAAAGGGTCCATTTGGCTGAAAATTTTTTTGTAAATAGATTTCATGACAGGATACAGATAAGTTAAACCGACCGAAAAAATTTTTTTCTCGAATTTTTTTAAAATAATAACCGTTTTAGCAGTGTAACAAAAAGATGGCACATTTTAAATTTTATGGATTAGGAGTAATCTGAAAAATCTATAAAAATTCCTGTAAACATGTCTATTGATATAGATAAAAAATACAAAAGAAACGAAGTTCTAATATATTTCCATCATCGAGATCTAGAAACCCGATAACATTTCAATTAAATTATAATTTTTAAAAATTGAACAAATTTAATGAATAATTTATCTATGAATATAATACTAACATTTTAAAGGGTTCTGAAATGTTTCACTGAAACAATGTATAATCAGTGTCTAATTTAGACAAAATAGTAAATTTTAGCTAGAAAAGGGAAGTGATAAATAATAATCACAAAATCAACTCGAATCAAATTTAGTTTTTCTTAGCATCGTCAATTTCTCTTTAATTCTCTCAATTGCTTGGAGGTGCTTGATTACCCTTTAAACAAAATTTAAATAATTTAAATTGGATAAATAAAGGCTCTTGGCTATATCTTATCTAGCTTATCCACGTTGTATAAATTTAAGATTTCTTTGGATTTCAATGTTGGGACTCGCTAATGTTTTTTAATTCAGTAGCAATGAACCGATGATTTGAGATTTTCAGTTATCTTTTATATAAATTTGGCAGCATTTATAATTTCAGGGCGGATTTTTATTAAAATAAGGCACAAAAACGGTCTTGGCCAAGAACAATCCTTGTCTGTTCAGTGTCTTAAAATTGAGGTCAGATAGAATAAATTCAGAAGAAGTCTTGTCTGTTCCTGGAAATTTTTTGGACATACGAAACCAAACCGAAGAATCGAACAGAAAAATCCTCGGTTCCTCGGTTCGGTCCAAACCGACAACCATAGTAAAAAATGGTCAGTGATAAATTTTATGAAAAAATGGGTTGAGGTTGTTTTGGCGCCGTGCCGTTTTGGCGCGAGAACAAAAAAGTGGCACTTAGACTAGACCTAAATTTATAAAATTTTTCTCAAATTTCATTAACATCCTTGACTACCTCCTCCAGAAGTTTCAGAATTTTTCATCAATATTTCCGAAGTTATAGTCGATAGACCCCGAAAAATTAGGCATTTTGCAGAAAATCAACATTTTTGGCCACAATTTCTGAAA